TTAGTAGTAGTTAGTAGTAGTAGTAATAGTAGTAGTAGTAGTAGTAGTAGTAGTAGTAGTAGTAGTAGTAGTAGTAGTAGTAGTAGTTGGTAGTAGTAGTAGTAGTAGTAGTAGTAGTAGTAGTAGTAGTAGTAGTAGTAGTAGTAGTAGTAGTTGTTGTTAGTAGTAGTAGTTAGTAGTAGTTAGTAGTAGTAGTAGTAGTAGTAGTAGTAGTAGTAGTAGTAGTAGTAATAGTAGTAGTAGTAGTAGTAGTAGTAGTAGTAGTAGTAGTTCTGACATGTCAAATAGTTAATAGTTCAGTATTTATTTTAAGGCAAGGTTTTTGGAGGGTTATAAATTAAGTGACCTAACCAAGGGGATTTTTGAAAAAAGACAGCTAATTGAAACGCCTGCGATTTCAAAAACTATGAAGATATGAAAGAAATTGTACTCGTTGTATATCACAATTGGTCAATCTAAATAAACCTTCTGTCACCTAGTAACTCAGTCTTGCGGCACATGCAGTCAGTTAAAAATGAAAGATTTAAACAAATAAATAAAACCTATCACTCAACTTTACTGCCGTTCTTGTTCTAATAAAAATCACCGTGCAGACTGTAATTGAATAATAATGATTATGTTAAAGAAAACACCTCTTTTTATTTGTCGCGTATGCACAGAAATGGAGATTTTTTAGGTTTTTTCTTTTTTTTTTCTTTTTTTTTAAATTCAGAGGCACAAGCAAAACATCAGGGCAATTCGGCCCTAAGTTTCTGTGTAATGAAGTCGACGAGTTGTCCATTTGGTGTTGTCCAGACTATAGTTTCCTTTGGACTACCTCTGTCTACAACGTATTTGTTATCATTATCATCAAATGCCAGATCTCCCTCAGACATTGACAATCATTGTTCTCCAGTCATCCCCTTGCTCGAATGCCCTAAAAAAGTTGCACTGTCCTGATCTTTCCCGTTTATCTGTCTGTTTAGGCTCCCCAAGCAGGTTACTCTGGATCTTCCCCTGCCTCGTTTGCCTTCAATTTTGCCAGTAGAGTTAAATGATTATGGCATTGTTGTCGATTTAAGTGTCCCAGTAACTGCATAATTTAGTCTTTTGCTAATTATTTTTGTCTGCGAGCGACCCATGAATTTGATTACTTTTCCTTCCGAAATATTTCTTTACAGTATCCTAAAAAACCCTCAAATATTAGCAATAGAATATTGATATCCTTATTTAAAAAACAGGGTCGGAAGTCATTGGGAGGTCTTTTACAATGGATTTCTGATAGGTTTTCCGCATCAAAAGATCTGACAAGTCATAAAAGAATAACGCTTGCGTTCGAGACAATGCAGTATTTGTGGCATCCATAAAATTAATAATAGAACAGCGGTTTTTTCCACTGGATCATGATGGACAAATGTCGCTCTTTCTCTGTGATACTGCTGTTAATGAGTCACTATAGACATAATAGATAAGTCTAAGCCTTACAATCGATCTGTACTGAAAGGGACCATAAAGGAAACCTGTGGTATTTTTCCTCCAGTAGCAGTCAATATACATAATATACGTCCCTGAAATAGCGACTTGTTGCTCGTGAAGGAAGGAGCTGCTCATCAAATATTCACACGTTCATGTGAAGGAAACGCACCCATGCGTAGTTGTACTTGATCACACTCTAAGCTCTCGATACCGTGTACTTTTCAGGGTATCTTCACTAACGACTACCTTAGGCATCGTATCCGTTTCGAATAAAGAAAACAAATCGTTTTGTTTCCCTTCCTCATTAGCAGCCTTTTATTCATTATAACATTCATATGACCTAAATGCATTGCCACCCTGCGAGTCAGTTTTATGAACTTGTATTAAATTTATGAAGTGGAGTTGTAATAGAAGCAAAGCAACTGAAACTTAAATAATCCTAATATCACTATGTTTACCACCATCTTTGCCTTTTGTGCTAACACCATTTTTGCCAGTTCAGTATCATTATTATTATTATTATTGTAGTAGCAGTAGTAGTAGTAGTAGAAGTAGTAGTAGTAGTAGTAGTAGTAGTAGTAGTAGTAGTAGTAGTAGTAGTAGTAGTAGTAGTAGTAGTAGTAGTAGTAGTAGTAGTAGTAGATATTTGCAATGACTACTTGAAAACCAAACTGAAGTCAAACCGATCCCTAAACTCGGGTTTCGTCGGCGGTAGTGGTATCGTACCAGCTCCACATTTGCACATCTCTGTCGGCCTCACCTGGTCTGCTGGAGTTGGACAGAAAGTAGAGCTCATAAAATATTTAGAGAATGTTTCTTCACCGAAAGAAGAGTTGAGAGGGCGTGAGAGAGGGAGATAGAGAAAGAGAGAGAGAGAGAGAGGTGGAGAGAGAGAGAGAGAGAGAGCGAGAAAGAGAGAGTGGGGGAGGGGGAGAAGGAGATTGAAGGAAAGAGAAAGACATGTAGAGGGGAGATAAATTCGGTAGACAAGGAGAGAAGTGCAGAAAGGAAAATTATAGAGGAATAATACAAAATACAAGAGTAGGGGTGGGAGGATTTTGCGGGCTTGACGATCAGAAATATACTAATTGTGAGTTGTACCAAGCACGTTAAACGCTTTGGTGATGGACTTTTCTGAACAATATTGGATAAACTCTCTATCTTTGTGAAGGCCACCACAGCAGTTTCCAGCTGACTAAAGAATAAACTGAAGATAAAACCACACCAGTGCATAAATCTAGATATTTATTTTCAAATTCGAAAAGTCAGGTCCACTTTTTTCTTATCATCTCTCAATAGTCAAAGACTTTATGTTATAATCTGCAATCGTTGGAGGTAGGTCATTAATGATATAATGACGTACGAGTAGTTTCTGGAACTTTCTGGGCGTATGAATCCTGGTTTCGATCAATGCGGTTTTGATGTATCGACAACTCATCCCCTGAGACCTGAGTGCACGTGAAGAACTCATCAATCATCTCCTTAATGTGTCCCCCGACGGCCTAATGCTGTGTGTTTTGATGCTTTCAGGAGAGCGACGCTGCTCAGTGCTGTTGTTTCTTGTGGAATTCGTTCATTGTTCTGCGATGTTGGTTACACGTACATGCATGTTCTGAAGTGTGTATAAAGTTAAGAGTAGTCTACAGAGTCGCATAAATACATTTAATATATA